AAATTGTGTATCAGGTCCATCTGAGACAAAGACATCCCATCCAAGACCAGAAGTGAAAGAATTTTGTCAAGGGCCCAAATACTCTATCCAATCCCCACCCACCCTTCCAGGCCCCTACAGCCTTCAGGGATTGGGGGATGACACATCTATGGCATTGCTCAGTCATCCTGGCATGGAGACATTAAACTAAATATCATATTCATACTTTGTTACCTCATCCCAAACTGTTGGATCACCCCATTCAGCAATATCTTGTAGATGTTAAATAGGAGAGGAGAGGAGAACCAAGCCCTGAGGCACTGCATAAACCAGGGCCAAGGGCTGGATCTCTTCCTCACTAGCAATCCTCCATCTATATTTTGAGAGACCCGTAGCTTTGGGTGAAACTGGCTGGCACTTTTAACAGTGTACATAACATCAGAGGTGGTATTCAGCAGGTTCTGGCCAGTTCTGGAGAACCGGTAGCGGAAATTTTGAGTAGTTTGGAGAACTGGCAAATAACACTTCTGACTGGCCCCACCCCCATCTATTCTCTGCCTCCAGAGTCGCAGCTGATTGGCTGGGTCTTCTTTTGTTGCCCTGCACAGGAGAAGGGAGCTAGAAAGCAGGTTAGTCGAGTGAGGAGGGAATGGGATTCTGTAGTAACCTTCCCCTGCCACGCCCACCAAGCCACACCCATAGAATCAGTAGTAAAAAAATTTGAATCCCACCACTGCATAACATCACTTCTGTCTGAGTCTGTTGATGGATTCTTTCTTTATTCATGTCGGAACTACCTTCAAATTATAAGCATTCAACATTGAGCAAATACGATAGATATAAAATAAGTCATAAAATATAGCACATGTAAAAAGTATGTAAAATAAGTAGGATTAAAACTAAAATAACTAAATAGCATCAACAGGCCATGTTGAGAGCATTTTCTCTCACCAGAATGAGATCTTCATCTGTACATGTTGAAGGACATCGTATACACCATAGCATATGTGAGATAGATTATTCTTCTCCATAGTAACACAGAGTATATTCTGTTGGGAAGCTCCATTTTCTTTTTCTTGTTTTTGAAAAAGTTTTTATTTTTTAAGACAAACATATACAAACAAAACACATAAAAACTATCTTCCATCTTATATACATACAGTGTGTCAGTTGGTTACAAATCTTTTGTGCTATCCTTTTGTAATCATTTCTCAATTTATATAAATTTCCACATTGTCAAGCTAACATATGCTTATATGCTTATCAATTATTAATCATCCATGACCAAACTATTTATTCTATCACTTTATATGAGACATTTCAAATTTTATTTTAAAATTTATGTTATACTTCCATCCAATGGTTATATATGTCTATTTTATAGTTTATATCTATCTATTAAACCTATTACAAAATCAACAAATCTATTACATTACCATGTCTTTTTGTCCAACCATTGATAAAACAAATCCCATATCATATAAAATTGTTTGTCTTCTTGTTCTCTAATTTCAAATGTCAGTTTACTCATTTCAGCACAGTCCATAATTTTCTTAATAAGTTAGGTATTACATAGGTATTTTATCATTTTTCCAATTCTTAGCAAACACAATTCTAGCTGCTGTTAAAACATTTACAATCAAATACTTCAATTCTTTATTGTATATTTGTGGTATAATTCCCAATAAAAAAAATATCTGGTTTAAAGTCTATGTGTTGTTTTATCATTTTTTCCAACCATGTGTGGATTTTAGTCCAATATTTTTTTTGCATCCAAGCACGTCCACCACATATGGTAATATGAGCCAGGTATCTGATGACATTTCCAACATTTATCCGATTTATTCTTGAACATTGTCGCAATTCTCATCGGGGGTAGATGCCACCTGTAAAACATCTTATACAAATTTTCTTTATATGCAGTTGACATTGTCATTTTATAATTTTAAGGCCATAATTTTTGCCACTTCTCTAAATCAATCCCATATCCAAAATTTTCCTCCGAGCAATCATCGTTTCTTTAATTTGTTCTTCTTCCAGTTTAAATTCTAATAAATGTCCATAAAGTTTTTTAATTACCTTTTCTTCAGTACCCATCAAACTTTTGTCTAAATCAGTCAACTTATCATAAATACCTTCTGTTTTAAAATCTTTATCAAATCTAGATTGTACTTGCAAATATGAAAGCCAATTCATTTTTACACCTTGTTCTTCCAATGCTTGCATAGATTTAAGTTCACCCTTTTCATTCAATATCTCACCATATCTAACGGTTTGTTCCTTTTTATATATTACTGGATAAGAAAAAGCTTCAATAGTAGATATCCATAATGGAATTTTTAAACAATATTGTCTTTTTGTCTTCTCCCAGTTCAAAAACAGTGCCTCTCGAAGATAATGTCTTCTAAAGTACCCCGTGTTTTAGTTCCCTTATACGAAAGGAAAGCATGCCATCCTAGCAGCAAGTCATGCCCTTCTAAAGTCAATAGTCTAGTTTTTCTTAATGTTATCCATTCTTTCACCAATATCAAACTTGTCGCCTGGTAATACAGCTCCCAGTTGGGCAAGGCAAACCCTCCTCTTATTCTTGCATCTTGTAACAGTTTAAGTTTTATTCTTGCTTGCTTTCCCTGCCAAATATATTTCAACACAATTCTGTTTAAATCTTCAAAAAACTCTTTCCCTAGCCGGACTAGAATTGTCTGGAATAAATACAGAATTCTAGGCAATACATTCATCTTAATTTTAGATATTCTCCCAATCAATGATATTTGTAAATTTTCCCATTTTTGTCAAATCTGTCACAATCTGCTGTTTGAGTTTAATATAATTGTCCTCCTTCAGTGTACTATATCTTGGTGTATTGTGTATCCCTAAATATTTAACCTTATTTGTGATCTGTATTTCTAAAACATCTTCCAACTCTTTCTTTCATCTTGCTAACATATTTTTTGTTAATATCTTTGTTTTATCTTTATTTATTTTCAAATCTGCTACTTTTCCATATTCTTCTATCTTTTCTATTAATTTAGGTGCTGTTTCCAATGGATTCTCTAGTATAAATACCAGATCATCTGCAAAAGCTTACAATTTATACTCTTACTTTTTAATTTTAATTCCTTTTATTTCTTTATCTTCTCTAATATTCCTGTTCAACACTTCCAGAGTTAACACAAATAACAGAGGCAACAGTGGACAACCTTGTCTTGTCCCTTTTCTTATATCTATGGATTCTGTTAATTCTCCATTTACCATAATCTTTGGAGCTTGTTCATAATATATCGTTTCAATGGCTTGAATAATTTTTTTACCAAAGCCCATTTGTTCCAATTGCAATAACATAAATCGCCAACTCACATTGTCAAAGGCTTTTTGTGCATCTAGAAACATCAAAGCCATTTGCTTTTCTGGATATGCCTCAAAATATTCCAAAGTGTCCAGAATTATTCTCACATTATTTTTAATTCGTCTCTGGCAGAAATCCATTTTGGTCAACATGTATAAAGTTATTTAAGTATCTTTTCAGTCTTTCTGCCAAAATTGAAATGAAGACTTTATAATCTAAATTTAATAGGGATATAGGACTAGAATTTTTAACTTGTTGCAGGTCTGTATCCTCCTTCAGTATAATTGTAATATATGCTTCTGACCATGTTTTGGGTATTTTTTTCTTTAACATAACTTCATTCATAACTTCTAACAGATGGAGATTCAGTATTTCCTGGAAAGTCTTGTAAAATTCCTCTGGCAATACATCTGGACCTGGTGCTTTTCCAGCATTATGTTTTTTTAAGGCTTCTGTTAGTTCCATCATCATTATGTTCCCTTCTAGCATTATTTCAATGTCTTTAGGTATCTGAGGTAAATTCACTTTCTGTAAGTATTGTTTAACTTTTTCTTTTTGAATAGTCTCTTGAAAATACAGTTTTCCATAGTAATCTTGTATAATTTTTTCTTCTCCTCATTTCCATAGCAAAAATGTCCTTCTTCATTTATTAATTGATTAATCCTTCTTGATTCTCTTTCCTTTCTCAGTTTATAGGCTAGCCATCTGCCTGGTTTGTTTGCATCTTCAAAGTAATTCTCTTTAACCTTTTTTGAATTTTTTGTGCTATTTCCTCTTTTTCCATTAATCCCATTTTATGTTTAATTATATCCATTTTATTCTTAATGTCTTTTTCTGTTTTATATTTCTTTTCCTTGTATATTCAATTATCAAACCTCTTGTGTAGGCTTTCATTGTGTCCCACAGATTCTTTTCTATTTTCTTTGGAAAAGAAAACCAATTCTTTCTCTATTTTCTGTTTAAGGTCTTTTTCCTTTAATATTGTATTATTTAAAATCCATTTAGATCTCCTCTTATATCCTTTCCAAATAACTGTCATTGGATTGTGGTCTCCCCAAGTGCTTGATTCTATTTCAATATCTCGTATATTAGTAAGGAGTTCTGCTGACATCCATATCATATCTATTCTAGACCATGATGCATGTCTGTTTGAGTAAAAAGTATATTGCTTACTTTCCACATTTCTCTCTCTCCATGCATCTTTTAAGTTTAATTCTTCTATCATTCGAAAGAAAGATTTTGGTAATATCTTTCAAGCTTTCTTTGTTGATTTCTGTGTTTTATAGTCCAACTGATCATTAATTATTCCATCATACAAATGTTAGCATAGTCCAATTCAATTAATTTCATATGTAATTTCCTTAGAATTCTTCTTGATTATCATTTGGGGCATAAATTGCAATAAAAGTGTTTTAATATTATTGTCCATTATTTCCACCATCAAAATCCTTCCATCGTCATCTGTATAAATTAATTCTGCTGCAATTGTATCTCTAATATATAAGACTACACCCCCTTTTTTGGATTGTGTCAGCGATGTAAATAATTTCCCTAGGTTTTTTTGTTTCAATATATATTCATGTTGTTTTTTAATATGTACTTCTTGTGGACAAATTATGTCAAATTTTAATTTCTCTAATTTATGAAATACTTTTCTTCTTTTAGAGCCAAATTAAGTCCATTTATGTTAATTGTAATCAATTTCCTTTCATCCATGTTAAGCTTTATAAGAGGGTTTTATTGCTCCAGTAGATCTTAATTCTCGTTGCTCTCTGAGTACACCACCTACTGCATCTTCTCCCTTTTCTTTTTCAATTACTGCTATACACTGCTCTTAAAAATCCAATTAGTGACTCTTCTTTTCTTTCTTCTTCCTCCTTTCCTCTAAAAAATTCTAAGCAGAATAACTCCACTTTTCCAACTGTATCGATTCTATGTCTTTGTTCCTGCCAAGTGAACGAGAGGCCTTCTGGCATCAACCATCTATAGTTTACTCCTCTTTTAAGTAACTCTTTAGTCAAAAATGTATATTCTCTTCTCATCTTTCTTACTCTTCTTGGTACTTGTTTCTCCACCACAATTTCTTTGTCTTTATATTTTAATGTTTTCTCTCTTGCCACCTGTAGTATCTGTGTTTTGATTATCTTCTTAGTAAATCTGATATGTACTTCTCTTGGTAACTTGTTTCTCATTGCGTAACTTGTATAGTCATGGAACACTTCATCCATCCCATCCACCATCTTCTCTTTGGTTATCTCTAATGCTTCTGCCAATATTTCTGTCATTATTTCAGCAAGATTTTCACCTTTTCCTTCTTCCACATTTTGAAATCTCAAATAAAATTCTGATCTATCCCAATAGTTCACTCCTACCCTTCTTGACATCGCTCAATTGAGTATCAATATCTCCAATTTTCTTATCTCTTTGTCTATCTTCTTCATTTTTTTTGAATCTGTCTTCATATTTCATCATCTGTTGAATATTTTCCATTTTCTCATCTGTCTTTTCAATGTTTTTCTCAGTCTTCTGAATTCCTTGCATGATCATCTACAATGTCACTTCCTTCTCTTTCTCTTTCTGTTGTAACATTGTCTGTATAGATCGTTGTCCTCCAGATGGTGAGGAGGTTGGTATCGAAGAAGCTGGGGCTGTTATCTTTCTACTCATCTTGTAATGCTTATCTGTGAAGAAAGAGAGAAGAAAAAGGAAAAAAAACCAAAGGCGGATGGTTGCCACTCCAAAAAGAAAAAGGGAGAAAAATCTTCAGGCACTTGTATACCTTAATCCAATTAGTTGCAATAGCATAAACAAAAAATAAAAATAAAAAATAAAAAAGCAAGAGAAAATATGGAAAAAAGTATAAAAAGAATTTTTCTTTTTTTTAAAAAAAAGAGAATAGGGGAAGGGAAAAAAATCAAAAAGAAGAAAAAAAGAGAAAAATACTCATGTCTTTCTCTTAATAAAAAGAAACAAAAAGGCAAAAATAAAAAAAAATTACATTCTAGTTCCTGGTTTGAAAAATCAAAATCCAAACAAAAAAACACAGCTAGAGGGAAGGTAGAAAAGAAGGCAAAAAGTAACAAAGAATTCTAATGTAAAACAAGCCTCTGACACCAAATATCCAAGGCTCTTTAATAAATCAGCAAAGTTTCCAGTTCAGTGTCTTCAAGGTCACTTCAATCTTCTTTCTTTCAACTTCAACTCCGGACTCCAGCTATCTATAGTTCACAGATAAGCACCTGTGTAAGCAAACTGCCGTGCTCATCCCACTATCTTTTCCAGTGCAAAGCTCAGAGTTCTTGAGTATAACACGAATACATAAACAAGTAAAAGAAAAAATTAAATAATGTATCCAAGCCTCAAGGGGGCAGTGCTACTTATTTTCCTCCACTTTCACTTCCTCCTCATATATCCAAAACCAGGAACATAAAAAAAAAATTGTACTTGTGCTTTTAAAGTTGTAGCAACATTTCGGCAGAATCTCATCTGCCATCATCAGGCTTCTGTATTGTGTTCGTCTGTCATATAAACTCTTTTACCAAATTGCCTCTATCAAAATATATTAGTTTTAATTCTGACCAAATCCCAGCTTTAACAAATCAGCTAAACTATTAATTAACCATTAGATATAGCTTATCTCCCCTTGAACTTCAAGTTGCTTGGTGGATTGGAGAACCTTTCAGTTGACTTCAGATTTCAGAAATAACTGGGGATTAATTGCATGCTGTATTTTTTTAAATTTAAGACTAAGGAATACAGGGCTAGAATTTGGATCACAGGAAAAGCTTGATGGTTCTTTTGTACTAAAAAGTAAAAGATCTATATCTAGGTTTCGTGGTACTGGTGATATGTGAACCAATATGTAACCTAAAAGATACTGCCACAAAGCAGCTTTTTGGATTGCTGGCACATAACACAAGTGGAACCTTGTTTTAATATTTTCCAAATGACAGCTTGTTTCTCAGTTTTGTGTAAAGCTAAATTATGTAGATAGCTGTATCCCATTCACAACCTTGCATTAGGCTATCACATCTGGGCTACACAGATCCAGAAAACCATCAGTTGGCAGCAAAGAGTGGCAGAAAGCTCATCTTTGCTACAATTTTTAAAAATTATTACTGTGGCAATTTTATTGTTTTTATCTTTGTGGTTATTTTCTTGATTGTAAGTCACTTAGAATCACATGCCAGGCAGTTGTATAAATCTATAGAATCCATCCATCAATAAATCAATCACACAATTGTCTAGATTTTTGCAGCTTAGAACCATTTGGCCTTCTTTTGATACAACTTCTATATCAAGAAATTTTAACTTGAATCAGAATAATTTTTTAAAAAGCTTAAAACAAATAAATTAAGCTTGTAAGAAGCTGAACTCACATAAGTTCATGTTTCTACTTTTGAATATCACCAAGAGTGGTTTTTATTTTATTTTGTTTGCAGATTTAAATAATAGAGGATGAAAGTGAGAGTGGTCAGATATAATTCTACAATGAACTTTTTAAAACCCCATACTTATTAGCACTTTCCAAAATATTAATAAATCTTGTTAATTTTTATTATTAATGTGATTGTTTATTTATTCAACACATTTCTATACCACCCATCTCACCTAAATGACTTTATTATTATCCCTGTATCTCTGGTGCTATTAAAAATGCATTCAAATTTAAAAAGTTTTGTCCCTATGTTTTCTCCCTAACTTCAAAGGTAATTGTCCTCCCTTCAATGATTCTATTGATGGCTACTACCTATTCAGAAGAGACTAAGCTACAGAAAATGAATTGATACATTAAAAGAACCAAATTCTATTCTATCTGGTTGCTGCTAGTTATAATACCCTGGGAAAATAGACGCTGAAAATATTTCAGAGAAACAGACAGAAGTTTATGGCATTTATAACACCTAAACTAGCTGGGGAAAAGAGAAGTCACAGAAACCTTGATATCCTTATAAACAGTTACAAAGTAAATCAGAGCAAGATGTTCCCTTAAGATTCTCAGTGAATAAGACAATCATAAAGTTGGAAGAGCCCCAGTTGGTATCCCGTTCTTTGTCAAAATGTGGCATTATTTTCACATACACATTTCCCTGCTCAATAGAGCACCAGTATGATTCAATTAAAAAATTGTAGATTTATGACCTAAGGTATAATAAACCCATGATGCATATTAGGTTGAGAATGTTTCCCTTAAAAGGGGTGATTCCTTCCTTCCTTCCTTCCTTCCTTCCTTCCTTCCTTCCTTCCTTC